ACCATACCAATGGGTCGAAGGCACCAAGGCCGACCTATTATGTGTTATGTGGTATGCTAGTTGATTATATTGTATGTGATATGCTAGTTGTCTTTACGATATCGCATTGAAGACCTTGGGGGGTTCCTAAGGCAATTAGATATAAGATAATGTGGGGGTTCCTATGGCACTCTGTATAAGACCTTGGAGGGTTTCCATGGCATCCACAGTAAAGACCATGTGGGGTACCCATGGCAGTAGGCTAAGACCATATGGGGGTTCCCATGACACCCAGAGTAAGACCTTGGAGGGTTTCCAGGGAATCCTTATATGTTTGTATGTATGGTTTATATGGCAGATAGTTAAAACCATGTAGGGGTTCCCATGGCAGTGGGCTAAAACCATGTGGGGGTTCACATGGCACCCGGTGTAAGACCTTGGAGGGTTTCAATGGCATCCTTATATGCTTATATGCAGAGCTTATGTGATTGATATGGTTTATGTGATTACATGTATTATATGGGTATGCTATGGGGATCTCACTAAGCTTTATGTTTACAAATTTGTTTATGGTTTCAGGTATCATTGATTTGGAAATGAAGGTCCCAACTTGATCACAATGCGCACACCTGTATTTTCCGCATTATGTGATTTTGGGATATAACTCTGATAAATGTTTTAATTAAGTCATGTTTTTAAATTGTTGGATTAAGTAACATCTGTGTTTAACTATAATGAAAAATGAAAGTTTTACCCTAGATTTTTTTATCGTTACATAAGGCCTCAACGTTCCTCTTTATAAACTATTGTACTATAATCGTTCTTGATCTAATCGATGGAACTCCATCACTCACTTAATCGCCAACGTTCACTACTATCTCTGTCAAATGTATTATAAATCTCCTAAAGAAATCATGTTGTTGTTATAACATGAAAATTCACTTCAGAAGAGGATTTATGGAATTCAAGACACCATGATCGAATCACAATTAAAATAAACAAAGAGCGTGAGGCTGATTTCGATAATGGTAAGTTTAATGGAAGAAGACTTTTTGAAGAATCAGACTTATCTTATGGGAAAACCATGTGTAACGCCCCGATTCTCTGGTATTGTCTAAATATGACTTTTGGGTTAAGCCCTACTCGACGAGTCGCTTGATCTACTCATCGAGTAGTAGTGGGAAGGATCACGGTTTAAGTAACCTACTCGACGAGTCCATATTGGGACTCGACGAGTAGGAGCTGGCAGCTGAAACCCTAAATCAACGGATTGTGCACCCTATTTAAGGGAACACAAACCTCTTTCGGCCTCTTTGTAGTCTCTTATCAAACCCTAATACGTGTGTGTGTGTGTGTGCATTGTGTGTTTGAAACCTTGGAAGGGGATTTTGGTGAAAAGCGCTTGGGAAGCAAGTGGTTTGAAGCAAGGAGCTTGGGGGAAAATGGATCTACTCCATTTTCATCTCTTGGGAAGGTATCAAGCTGTTATCCTCCTTCTATTTCGTTCTAGACCTACTTGGTTCGAGATTAGGGTTCTTAGTTAGATTATAAAGTCATTTTCTAGAGTATAAGCCAGGATCTGAAGTTGTAACTTCAGATCTGAACTCTCTGAGGATTAAGGGACCATAAAGTTATTAGTTTTGGCAAGTTTGAGCCCCTCCCTAAGGTTTGCAACTTTACGTGATAAGTAGGCCTAAGGTTTGCAACTTTATTGGAGCCTTGCATGCACGTAAAGTTTGCAACTTTACGTGATAAGTAGGCCTAAGGAGGTTGGATCTACAATTTGGGGCCTTGCCATGGCTTAGAAGTTGTCTGCATGATAAAATGACTAAATGAACTTGGCGAGTCGCACAGTTGACTCGGCGAGTCACATGAAGATGGTCGTGAACTCGACGAGTTGGAAGAATAACTTGGCGAGTCTGATGAAGATTTCCATAAGACTCGACGAGTTGAAGAACAACTCGGCGATTCGGATGAGTTTTAGCCGGGACACGTTTGCATGTATGTCCGTCGAGTTCAAGGAGGGAATTCGATGGGTGGCCTTAAGGGTTGATCAAAGATTCGAAGGAACTCGATGAGTCACTCTATTGACTCAGCGAGTTGGAATGTGCTTCAGAGAACTCGGCGAGTACCCAAGTGTACTCAGCGAGTTAAGGTCAACATGGACTGTTGACCTTGATTGGGGACTTTGACTATGACCAGGGGTTGACTAGTGGTTTATGGAGCACCTTATAAGGTGAAGGACTTATGAGCATGTCATATTATGGTAATAGGTGGTGGAGTCTTTGACAAGTGATCGGAGAGCTTTGATTATTTACCGAGCTGACGTCTTCGAGGTGAGTTATCCTCATTATACTAAGTGGTCTAAGGCACCAAGGCTGGCCTATTAGATTTGATATCCCAGTATTGATATGATAAGTTGAGTCAGAAATGTATGCCAATTGATATGCTTGTCGGGTAGATGTGTTGGACTGCCTGTGACACTGATTGATTATCTGTATGTGCATTTATCTATTACATGTCTACATGTTATGTGGGGTGGGTTGAGGTTGCACTGCTCCGTGCGGTAGCCAACAAACCCGAGAGTATTCCAGATATGAGCTGAGGGCCCGGTAGGCATTCCAGACTCATACTAAGGACTCAGGAGCATTCCAGATACGAGCTGAGGGCCCAGTAGGCATTCCAGACTCGCACTGAGGGCTCGATGTCATTCCAGATACGAGCCCAAGGGGTAATCCAACTTGTAAAGTTGTAGGTGCGATGCATGTTATTCTGTTTTATTGTTATGATATGCTAATGTCGATATTGCTATGTGGACTATATGTGTATCGGTATTTGGGGGTAACTCACTAAGCTTTCGGGCTTACAGTTTAAGTTGGTTTTTCCGGTACATCAGAGGATCGTGGCAAGGCGAAGGCGTGATCATACTACTCCTATTATATTTATGTTTCTGGGAAAAACTCTGATAACCAATATTTTGAAAACAAAGTTTTAATGTTTTGATGAACTTGGCATGTATAAAAAGTTTAAATTGGTTTGAAATTTTTGGGTGTAACAAATTGGTATCAGAGCCTTGGTTTGAGTGAATTGGAGGAACATTCGTGTGAATCGAGACTCAAATCAAGCTAAGATTTTCAAAATGGTTTTCAAATGGTTTTCAAAATAATTAGATGAGGATGAGAAGTGTACGATCAGCCGGAGCCAATAAGTCACAACTAGAAAAACAGCCTTTTACGACGCTCATTGCGCGTCGTAAACAGCTCAGACGACGCGCAAATGTGCGTCAAGGAAGGCCCTGTCATAAAGAGAGACGACGCGCTTTTGCGCGTCGTCTATAGACGACTCGCATTTACGACGCGCGTTTACGACACGCAATGTGTATCAAGGAAGGCCCTGTCATAAAGGAAGATGACACGCATTCGCGTATCATAACCTTACGACGCGCGTGTTAATGACACGCAATGCGTATCAAGAAAACCCCTGTCAAGAAAGGCCATGTCATAAATGAAGATGACACACATTTTTGCATATCATAATTTTAAATGTTTAAATACACACTACATATAAAGGTGTCAATATTCTGATTGCATGTACTTAATATATAAAGACTCCAACAATAAATAGATATGTTATGTTACCTTGAGACACCTTTGAAGGGGATCCAAAATGCCATACCAATTTGGGATCTAAAATGCAATACAATAAAGAAATCCAACATTATTAATTTTGCAAAAGAGTACCTATAGCACCAATGTTTATAAAGGTCCCCATGGCTCCATCATTACCCTAGTCCATGTACTCTAAAATCTTTCTTGTTCCTGCAACCTAGCTGTAATGGCATTCCTGCAAGTGCTCCTTCTCCCATGGATCCTTGAACAAAAACCTAAATAAATTTTAAACTTTTATTTATATTCGAATATTTTTTTTGTTGTATATACAATAACTGAATTTGACATTTATAGTTTAGTAGTTGGAATTGGAAGAATCATAATTTGTCATGCCTTTAATTGGCAGGAAATGGAATGGAATTTAACAAAAAAGGAAGAATAGAATTAAATGGTGAATCCCATCAAACATGGAATTTGAAGGAATCTGATATAATTTAATTCCATCCATTTGCCAATCAAACATGCCATGGAATGGAATCTCCAATTTCAATTCCATCAGAACCATGATAAGCATACCTTAACACATTTTCCATCATTTGAAAATGATAGAGCAAGAACACGAACAAGTTCCATCAAAGTACCTATTCGATATACATCCTGTACATAAATATAATTTATATTTATATTTTATAACAATTCAATTATTGAAAAAGGAAGTGTTCCTCACTGTGTTGGGGTTCAGCTTTGGCTATCATCAACATTACAAGTTGTCTCAGTATTGTCCACCGCCACATGGAATAAGCTGCAGAAGAAAGTTCAAAGGAAGGAAACAAATTCAAAATTCTTAAAAAAAAATAAAAATCTTAAAAAAAAGCATCCAAGGACTTTGATACCTGTAAACTTTAGTTCCTTATCCAACTTATCCTACAATACATCTATCACACCCTTCTCATCCGTCACGAAAACCCCCATGACCTATATAAATCAAACATTAAAGCTTCAATAACAAAACCAAAGGGCAAATCTGTCATTTTTTTGGAAAAATAAAACCCGGCCAAACGAACCTGAGGGTGGAGGAGGCGCACCTTGCCCTATTGCCGCTAAATAAGGGTTGACTTTCTGACCGGCCTCCTGAAGTATGGCAATAAGTTCCTTAGCAAACCGAGCATTTGTTGCTGTAAAGAAAGTGTATGCTGTCCCTTTAGCCCCGACTCTTCCTGTTCTCCCAATCCTATGAACATAATCATCCAAGGAACCCGGGAAATCATAATTTATCACATATTTCACGTCCTTCACATCTATAGCTGTCATTATTGGACTTTTACTAGCTTTGAATTCGGATAAATCCTAATCTCTTTCTGCTTGACTTTTATCTCCATGGATTGATAATGCGGGCCACCCGTCCATTCTGAGCTAGCGAGTGATTTGGTCACACCCTTTCTTCGTGTCCATAAAAATTAGAATTCTACTCCCATCCATGATGTCATCCAACAGTTTCACCAATCTGAAAAAAAAATTATCAAATTTTATTATTTTAAAGCTTCTAAAAAGTTGAAAATAAAAAATCATCTATAAAAATGGTCTGCTTACTTGTTGTACTTTTGATTCTGAGTAACAATATCAACATGTTGGTGAATCGAATGGTTAGCTTTTAAGTCTTGTGAACTAATAACCACCTGTCCAAATTTCAAATGTCCAAAAAAAGGATTAAATATGAACACATGGTGAAAATAGAAAAAAAGTAGTCACTTTGTATGGGTTGTAAAGAAACTATCTTGCAAGTTGTTCGACTTCCTTTGGCCATGTAGCACTCCAATAAAAGGTTTGACAATCTGGTTGCATCTGTGTATATACAAAAACCCATAAGATAAGAAAAATTGAAAATATATATTTTAGTTTTCTCTTATTATAAAAGGCAGGTTAAAAACTACTAATCACAATTCACAAACCTGTGAAACAATTTTTTTCATTTGAGGTTCAAAACCCATGTCAAGCATCCTATATGCCTCATCCAACACAAGGTAAGTCACCCTCCTCAGGTTTGTATGATGAGACTCCAACATATCAATCAATCTTCCAGGTGTAGCAATGATAATATGAACACCTGAAAGAAAAGATTTAAAAAAAATGATGATGAAACATGTGCTTTAGGCACAACAAAGATAGATAGATAGATATAATGCTGGAAAATGTTGAATACGCTGAAGAAGCATAAGGATATACCCGATCCATAGTAGTAAATTCATCTTTGAGCTTATCACCACCTACCTTTCTGTAAATCACGAACTTGAGGAACCTTTGGAACCCCACCATAAATGCAAGTATTCTTAATCTTTGAAGTTGTGCCAAATTTAGTTGCTTCTTGTTGTATTTGAACAGCAAGTTCACAAGTTGGAGCTAAAACTAACACAATCGGTCCATCTCCTTTTACTGTGATACCTGTAAACTCGCCGGAAATGGGTTATCCTATTCATGTTCTGATTGTGAATTTGACCTTCACGTCCTTTGTGCTCATTCGATTACCGGTACTTCCCGTACTTATCAACCCTCAATGGTTCACCCCAATCAAACTCATGGTCAAGAAATGGATCCATAAAGTGGACAGAACTCTTACCAAGCACAAAATGCCTGCCCTCCTACTAGTGTTCATAACCCTATTACTAATTTCCAATATTCTTTCGTGGCTCCTGTTATTGTTGGGGTTCAGCTTCGCGATCGCAGCTCTACATTTCTCTTCATCCTGCAATAAATGCTCTAGTTCTTCTATTTCTTTCTTAAGTTCACTAACTTCCTCATTCATATACATCTCTATCACCTGATCTTATCCTTCCACTGACTCAAGCTCCTACATCATGAATTTTTATGAATGTTTATAATTAACTATTTAAACATAGTTTCTGAGATTATTAAGTTTAAAATGTGATAGAATATCATCTTAAGACTTAGTTGTTCATCAAGTGTGAAATGTTCTTTGGTCCAATCACAAGAAGCACCAAGTCGCCTTATCTGAAGTCTTCTCTACCTGATTCAACCCTCTTAATTCATTCAGATGCCAACATTCTTTCAACAACCAACTGAAAACAATATCTGTTAGATATATAATATATTAACTAAGTAGACTAATACAATAATCAGAAATCCATTTGTGGAAAAACTCAAACCTGAGTTGCAATGCCAGCATGATCAGTTCTAGGGAGCTACAGTGTAGGTCTGCCCTTCATCCTGTTGTATCTGATCATAATATCCTGGAACACAATTGAAAATATGAATGGTTTGTTTATTTACACATTGAATAAAGAAAAAATGATGAATTTTACAAAGTTTTTATGTGAATCTATGTTGTTAGTAAACATTTACCAAACCTCAAGAGTTACAAACATAACATGTCTCATGTGCAATGAACCAGTCACGTTTGGAGGTTGCATTGTGACAACAAAAGGTTCATTTCCCTTATCAAAGTTTGGCTTGAAATGCCCTTGGGAATCCCACCTAGAAGCAATCAATGATTAATACATAGAAATGATGATATGATAATCATTTTTTTCAGTTAATACGAAACATGGCACATTCGATCAAAAGTAATACCAGTTGCATACACTCTTTCCAGATGAATTGCCTTCAATCTGGTATAATAAAAGTGGATACTACTTAGACATATATATATACATATATATATATATATATATATATATATATATATATATACACACACACATTTAGGCTCATTAAGTGTGGACATAAAGCTAGGGTTCCATGATACAAAAGAAGAACTTTGAAATTACCTGGTTCGATTCAACACCCCCATCAGAAAGGTTTCCATTATCTTCAGATTCCTATTTTATAGCACCTTTGTGAAAACATGTGAGAACAAATTTAAATTATTGACAACCAAATCAATAAACAAGAAATTTAAACGCCAGATGTTGCAGGGTGTATGATCTTTATGACTAACAGTCAAACATTTTACTTAAATATGTGCAAAATCAAACAAATGTTTTTACTGGATTGTCATAATTATATCGTACATATGTAACTAGCCCTAATTCATATATCTCCCTTTTTAGCACGATAAGAATCCAAAAATCACAAAGGTTAAACTATGTGTCATTGTGATTTCTGCCAATTTAACTCTGAATAAGTCCCCATATTTGACCAATTACTGCTTAACTATAAAAAAAATCGGATATGAATCACAATTGTAACTGAACGTGATCAACCTCCAAATACAATTATATTGAAGGCTATTTGACCATTTCAAATACGATCACAACTGAAAAAAAAAATATGAATCTTAAAACAATTAGGTCAAATCAAGGGATTGCTTACTTGTGGACGACATGAATAACCTCCATCAATGATTGAACTCATTCGATCCATTTAAAATCCTACCCTTTACCAAATCGATTGAAGACGTCATATTGAAGGGTGTTTGTAACTGAAATCTACGAGATTGATGATTTTAGTAAGCTAAGTAAACAGATGATGGAGTGTTGACATGGGGAAATATGGATTCGAGCCCTAGAAGCTGAGAAGTAGACACAACTATGAAGCGCGGTACTTGCAATCGATTTGTTGGATTTGCTGGTCTGATTTTTAAGAAGATTTTGTGTAGTTCGGAGAAAAGTGCTAGTTCTTCCAAAGTTTGGGAGGATGGATCAATGTAACGGGGCTTAGGTCTCCTACAAGGAGAAGCGAGCATGAGATCACTAGACCTGAGGTTGCCGACAAGGTGAGGTTGTTGGCAAGGTGATGTAGCCGACAAGGTGAGGCGAGGTGATCAGGTGATATTGTCGATCGTTGTAGAGGCAGAGCACCGAGAACGGTCGTCTTTCATCGGAAGTCGACGGTGGTGGGAGACACTAGGAAGGGTCGAATAAGCAGCAGATGGCGGAAGGTGAATGGGGGTTTGAGAATCGAGAGAGAAGAAAGAAAGAAAGAAAGGGGGTTTTCAGCGGGGATGAGCTAGGGTTTTCAGCTGGTGGAAACCAAGCGGGCTTTTTAATTTTTGGATTTCATTTCCCCCTCGGATGAAACGCACGTTTCATTAAAATTTATAAAGCGACATGGTGAGACGACGCACATTTTATTTAAGGTGCCCTCCGTGTTTTTTTATTAGAAACTAATTTTAGGGCACGCAAAAAATGTGTGTTCTCTATGCTTCATATTTTGGAAAACTAACATCAAATTTTAGGGCACGTACAAATGCGTGTCCTCTATTAGCGCGTGTCATTGATTGCGGGTCGTAAAAGGCTATTTTTCTAGTAATGAGTAGACCCCACAATACCATACAGTTATTTGATTATGTGATATGTTAGAACAACATGCTAGTACTAGGCTAGGGATCTTCAGGAATTTCATGGTAAAATTTCCTGATTACATGCTACCTACTAGCCTAGGGTTTCTCTTATGTGAAATTGACATCATTACTGTAGTTATCTAGTGTAGGCATCATGGTTATACATACCTAAGATCTTATAGCCTGAGAATGTTTGATTTGGCCTTATGTTATGTTCCTATTTGATTTGGAGCTTTGGGTAGGATTGAATATTCGAAAGTCTATAGGGTCCAGCGTTATGTATGGCTAGCATACACTAGTGCTGCAGGGTTGGTGGAAGTTTCGTGGATGGATAGGTTATTTGGGAGGTGTCCGCCGACTTTGAGGCACTTAGCCTTCATTTAGGGGTGAAGTTTGAGTGCTCGATGTGATTATGTGTGTCGTTAGGGCTTTGTGATGATACTTGGGACAAATATGGGAAGGTGTGGAAGGTAGTATGGGCTCGTACTACTGAAAGCACAAGACCCATACATGTAACAAGGAAGTCACAAACCCTAGGGTTTTGTCGGGGGTTGGTCCCCAATTCTTTTTATGAGTTATCTGATGCCTTGTGTTATGTTTCAGAATGGTGGTAACCAGACGTTTTGTGACTCGATCCGGTTCGGGATCAGGATCAGGATTAGGAGAGGGCAGACAAGGGGAGCTGACAGCACCTGAGACGATCGGCCAGATGAGGCCAGACAAGATGGATGACAGGATCCGAGCAATCCTGCATGATGAGGTTGCTGCGTTGTTCTGGTCCGAGTTACCAGAGATGTTCGGGTCGATTAAGACTGCCATGGTGGAGTATTTTGATGAGCGCTACACAACCCTCGCAGAGACAGCCGCAGCAGCAGCTGTATCAGCTGTATCTACGACAGGGGGAGGAGTTGGTAGGGGTTTTCAGTATCGGGACTTTGACAACACGAAGCCCCCTACTTTTGATGGGACATAGGATCCCATCAAGGCTATGAGATGGATTTCCAATGTTGAAGGGTGTTTCTTCACCTACTCGTGTCCTGCTGACCAAAAGGTCAGGTGTAATCTGAACCTGATTAGGTCCGGAGCCAATGACTGGTGGAGACTTGCGACTGGGGCCTACACTGATGATCAAAGAGCTACTGTTACTTGGGAGCAGTTCAGGGATATGTTCCGTGCTCGTTACATTCTGAGAGTCGAGCGGGTTCGGTTGGCACAAGAGTTTCCGAGTTTGAGGCAGGATGGAGAGTCGGTGACGGAGATCACCCGTATGTTCACTGAGCGGGCGATGTTCTGCCCAGAGTTTGCTTCTGAGAAATCTCAGATGACCCATTATCTGAGTATGCTTAAAACCAATATCCGGCAGTTTGTAGCTACCCAACGATGTGATACTCTTCTGGAGTTGCAGGTGGCTGCCAGATGGCGGGAGTTGGAGATTGAGCTGCAGCTAAGGGAGCAGCGTCCAGCCCCGGTACTGTCACAGCTGGTGCCGAAGTGGCCTAAGACCGTCGATGCTAGGACTGGGGGTCAACGGGGCCGCACTTGTGGGAAGTGTGGCAAGGGACATTGTTGTGTATGCTGGGCTGGTAGTGGGTGCCACTAGTGTGACAAGGAGGAGCATTACGCGAACGCTTATCGCCAGGTTGCGCTAGTCCAGGGTATGAGGTTATGTTATCACTGCAACCAGGTCAGCCACATGAAGGCCAACTATCGACTACTTTCCGCCAAACCGGTGCAAGTTGCAACACCGACTACCTTGAGGATCACAGATGGGAGACCAGTCAGTACAGAGCCTCCGAAGGCTCAAGGACGTGCTTTTCAGCCTACGGTAGAGGAGGCCAGAGCAGCACCAGATGTTGTTGCTGGTATGTTTCTATCCTCATCTTGGTTTATTTATCTGTTATATGCTTATCTGTTGTACCTATGATTAGGTACGTTTTTGGTGAACTCTTTGCCTGCTTTGGTCTTATTTGACTCAGGGGCGAGTCGGTCCTTCGTGTCTCGGTCTTTTAGTAGGGAGTTCAGTACACTGGTGGGCGAGTTGGAGTGTCCGTTACGATTATCTATCGCCAACGAAAACGGGATTTCTGCTTCTTCAGTTTATCGAGGATGTGACATGGAGATTTTCGAGGTGTCTTTTCCGATAGACTTAATTCCGATTCCCATGGGGGAGGTGTGCGTGACTGTGGGCATAGATTGGCTCAGTAAGTTCGGTGCTATGATTGATTGTGAAGGACAGCGAGTGGTAGTTCGAACCCTAAGTGGGGGAGAATTGATTATATATGGTGAGGGCACCAGAGTAGGCTCAGGTTTTTGTTCAGATGTCAGGGCTCATCAGTACATTCAGCATGGGTGTACGAGTTATCTAGCGTACGTGGTACGTACGCGAGTCAAGGACCAGAAAAATTGTTCTCGATGTACGAATGGTCATGGAATTTGCAGATGTGTTTCCGGAGGAGTTGACAGGGATACCTCCGGAGAGGCAGGTCGATTTCAGGATCGACCTGGTGTCA